CAGGTATAAAGAAGAGTGACGAACTTTGAGGCTTCACTGCCCGCAAAATGAAGCTTCTAACAAAGACAAATGTCTTTTTATTGCCATACCCATCAGCCTGGAACGCCGCAGACTGGCCAATATAGGAATGGAGGCACAGTCTTGTGAGCCTGCAAACGAGCGAAAATGATATCTAAAACTCTCCACTCCGCTCGTGTCGGCCTTCGACAAACTCGCGAATCGCTTGCAGACAGGCGTTCTTGTCCCATTTCTCTCCCGGCCAGCCATGCTGGAAATATAGGTGCCGTATCCAGTCGGCATCCTCCATGCATCCAAACTCCTCGTCCGTTCCGTCATACTCCCCCTGCCTCTCTATCTCTTCGGCGTCGTACGGGTCATCATCCGGAACATATTCGACATATCGGTCCTCGCGATTCCAAAAATGGTCGTGTTTCCACGGCTCCTCGCGCTTATAATGTTCTTTGCGTCTGAGGATGACGTTTTCGTCCGGAATAAACACCTCGTCAAATCGCTTCAAGGACTTGATCCGGTCTTCGAAGAAGTCGTGCGCCATGATGATGGGTGCGCAGGTACTATCCTCCTCCTCCTCTTGGTAGATAAGCCCACTCCAGGTATCGATGTAGAAGTGGTAGCCGGAGCTCTCCCAGCCTATGGAAATTGTGATTACGTGACGCTCTCCGGACGGTCGTGGTCGATTTTCGCTCGGGTGTTCATATCCTTTCATCCAGATATCGTGGCCGTCATCGTACCGATTTAGCTCCGAATAGTCCACCATGGTGCTTTTGTAAGCGAAGCATGTGTCGTGGTCTCCAAAGAATCCAGGCTCGTGAATGTACGAGAGATGGCGCAGGATGTCAACCGCGAAATCCGTCTTCTGCTCGAATCCATTGCCGGGACCGGGTTGGATGTGCGGCCACCCGCCGGAGGGAGGGTGGCGTACCATGCCGTCGGGGAGCTTGAAGCGGTCGAGGAACTCGAGATACTCCCGAACAGGCGCGACGATGCGCTCGCGCTGGTCGGCGCGGATCGTGTTGGCGATGCGCTGGTACACATCCTCGAGCCCATGACAGGTGAGGCGGAGTGCAACGACGCTCTGCTGATTGTAGAGAGAGAGAAAGATTTGCATTTGGAGCTCCGAGGGGAGACCGAGGAGGCCCACGGTCGACTTGATGGGAGTGTCATTTTGGTCGTCGGACATGGCGGGTGTGATTGCGTGGACTAGGTGGTGAAGGAGGAGGGAGAAGAAGTGACAGGGGCACCTGGACACAACGTAGTACTTATACCCATCGCCAGAAAAGGCTCAACCTCCGGGGCCCAGTATTTCTTAGGCGCCCGCGATGACCCGTGCTTCATCGAATCGACCAACAGCCCGAACCAGTAGCATACCATTAATAGGCCGGAGACCTCATGTGGGATTTCTCCCTTCTCTTCTTACGAATGGAACAAAAAAACTTTCAAATCCATGTCTTGCTCATTAGGAGCTGTGAGAGACCCGTCTAGGAGTTCAGACAATTACAAAGCCCCGAGTCTCGGATTGCTCAGCTTTCAGATGATTCAAGTCAGCCTTGGCCGGTGATCAGAGAGTGTCCTGTCATCTTCGGTTCAAGATTCATCGCGAGCACCCTGCCAAAAAGCAGAAATCTGGCACTTCTCGTCGGCAAAATGTCCCCTTGAGGCCATGGGTGACAAGCTCACGCTCTCAAGTTCAGGTCAAGACAAAAGGCAAGATGATGCGGAGGGTCATAGTATGACATTAGGGTGATTATGTAGCATGCAGCCTTGGCCAGGTTCCTTCCTTCCGCCGCTTGAATTCCGCTGTGACTGATGCTGCGTCCACGTCAACAATGCTCAAGGTCCGGCAATGCAAGCCCAAGTGCCCGACCAGAGGTTGCTGCAGTCGCTCCTCACGGCCGGGTTCCACTTGACAAAGTTTGCCAGCGTGATCTTGTTCCAATCCAGGATTCCCTGGCAGGTGGTCGTCGGGCGGACAGTAGCAAAGGCGGTACAGCCCTGGACCATACCGGCCTGCGTCGGGGTCGGCGTGGTCACCGGCGAAGGGGAGGAGCTTCCGCCACCAATGACACCAGTACAGGCGTAGGCTCCCAGCTGCAGGTTGGTACAGGCCGTGTTCACACGCGGATTCCACTTGAAGAAGTCCGTGATGGAAATCTTGTTGTAGTCCGCGATGACTTACGCATTGCTGGGGGGTGATTCCCAGGGGACCGCAGAAGCTGCCATTGTCGCGCAGCTGGCCGCACCAGTCCGACTCATACTGGCGCAAGCAGGAGCGCATGTTGTCGTTACCTCCGAGGCAGCCTAGATTTGCCCCCAAATTAGTATTGGTTCGCATGTTTCTCGAAAGAGAGAAACTGTGGGAGGAATCGCCATCTTGGAACATCCCAAAGTGGATGAATGTTGCCCAAGGCGTCAAGCAAAGGAGGTGAAGGAGACGTATCGTGACTTACAATCTCCGGAAGCTTGGCAGACGCTGTTGGGGCCGGGAAGGGCAAAGTCGGGGATGTCGGGGGGGAAGGGGTCGCCGCCCTGAGGCGCAGCCAAGGCAGGTCCGGCGACGAAGAGAGCAATGAAGAACTAAGCGTAACGCATCTTGAAAGTTTCGTTGAAGAGTGAAGTGGAAGAATGGAATGAAATGAAGTGGTATCGAGGTGAATGGAATGAAGTGTTGAGATGATGGAGAAAGAAGGTTTGAATGCGGGGAATCCTCCCACTCTTATATTCCTCTTGTCCCCTACTGAGCTGCAGAGATGCAGGGATCATGAGTTGTGTCCAGACGGAAAGAGCCGTCCGGATGCTGGGGAGCGCTGGTACCGGGACATCTTGGCCGGCATTCGCGAGGAACAGGCGCGGGCGAAGGGAGAAGCTGAGGCAAAGACCGCCGAGTCAGTTGCCGTTACCTCGAGTGGTGGCCAGCCCGTGATGGTGTACGGAGAGACCATGCAGCATGGTCCCTAGGCAGGGGGCAAGAGACCTGCTAGCCAGGCCGGCTGGGTAATGCAGTGCAACTGTGACAACATAGCCTTGGTCTTTGCGAAACGCTCTAAACCATATCTAGCCCTGCTCTAATATCAGAGAGCAAAAAAACCACGGTAGAGAGCTATCACTGAAGCTGACAAGGCTGTGCTGTTTGTTTGTGGTGCTGCAGACCGGCAGATGCCTGCGTCTGTGCAACTAGTGCACACAGCACAGGACAACTCCCACCATCCCAACCACCACAATGACGTCGCCACGCTGCGCGACATCAGTTAAGAATTTCACAGCATCTATAGAGAGCTGATGAGGAATCATGAAGTGACCGGTATTTCAATTGATCTATTGTTGGTGGCGGAGATGCGGACTCTAGGGGTTGCGGCTCGAGGGCGTTGGTCGCATCGCTCGCAACAATCTGATGGCCGTCGACGAGCAGTGTCGCCCTTCCGTGGTTGTGATTCAATAACATAAATTCGATTATGATAGTATGACAAATTATCTCTCACAATAAAAAGAAAGCGAGGCTTTATCCGCTGGTTCGCATGGACGAATGACTCGCTTGTGCTGCACGGGTCCAAAGCCCGGAAGATTCCATTCGGTTCAGCCCTGTATCAGGCGGTAGCGGAGACCTGGGGTCTGACAACTACCTCAGCTGCAATCCGGGCCAATTCTAGGCAACAGTAAATCCCTGAGGTCCCGTGAGATGGGCTGCCTTGCAACATGACATCAGGAAGCGAGGTTTAAGCATGACTTGAGAACTGACTCGTGGTGCATGAATTGAGACCTGAATTGTCTTAACCATGGTTGCGTCTATGAGCGGAACTTATCGAAGTCCTTTTTTCACAGCATTCGAGTTTCAAGATGGCAAGTAACATCGCAGTGAAGTGGTATTGGTTTTAAACCGCATGTACAGGCCATGACATGACAATGATGGTGTACTCTTTGAATCTATATAAGAAGTACAGTCGCGCTTCTTGTCAGATTCTTCTTTCTATTCTCATCAAACATTACAACAAGCTCACTTCCAATCCACACCTACTACAAACAATCACTTTTCCAAAACATCTCTCATCGTCAACCAGTTGCCAACCGCCAAAATGCACTTCAACAACATCGTCGTCGGCGCCGTGACTATCATGTCTGCCACCGTTTCCGTCGCTGCTCAGTCTGTAAGGAAGACTTCTCTTTCAACATGACTTTCCTTCCCGTACTAACTCTTCTCTCTAGTGCCTGTTTGGCACTATCGACGTGCCCAACTGCTGCTGGGGCGCGAAGAACGGCTAGGGCGGCTTCGAAGCTTGCCGCAGACAAGGCATTGATGTCGATGTCTGCGAGTCGCAGACGAACAGCTTCTGCATCAACCTTGGCATTGGCCCAGACAAATGCGTAAGTATTACAATTGCCTGCTAGTTAGAGTCGAGAGGCGCGTACTGATTCTTCGAATACTAGAGCGCTGATTGCTGCGACCCTCGCACCGGCAAGGGAAGGTCTTGCCCTGATCTCTAGACGGTGTCATCGGATTCTTGTCATGGCAGGTTTCCATGGCCGAAGAGATGTACATGTCACACGTTTGCTGGTAGTTAGCCCATGCCGACGGTGCCTTTCGTAAAGAAAGTAAATCAGAAACACGGAGTCTCCGCCCGTATTCCTCCGACTCCAGCTCCGCATGATGCCTCGATGAACGACAGACGTGGTTGCGCGGGTGTGACAGGACAACAGTTCGCGGCGTGATGAGGGAGCCCAGGTGTTGGATGTAGTCGCTTGAAGTGCCTACCAGTGGCAAAACCTGTGTTATCTGGTCGATCGGCGTGCTTGGGACGGGGCATTGCGAGGCGTGGTGCGGTCTCTCTCCTAGGTTCGGTGAGTCTCTGGGTGAGGAAGGAGAAGTTGACAGCCACCAGGTGGGCTTCAACAGTGACAAGAGAATGAATGCGCGGGACGATGCAAGAAAATGGTCAAGGGATACCATTGGAGGCGGATGCAAAGTGGAAAAAAAAAAGTAAAAAGAAAGACGAGGATAGTAGGGATCGAACCTACGGCCTTCAGTGATTTTCTTAATCCGAAAACTGACGCGCTGCCACTACGCTATACCCCCGATCTGTGGTTGGCAAATGACAGACTAGGTTTATGAATTTTGGTGGTGCAGCGATGGCAACCTCCTACTTGAGGCCGGACGGTGTTATCTTCCAATAACACACCATGACTGCCAGCGGCAAGTCAGCTCCCACGTCCGACGGCCAGTCCCTCCATCACCATCAATTGAGTCGACAACGACCACCATGATGGCTAAGGCTGCGCCACCACCACCGTCAACATCCACGATCGGGGGCTTCCCATTTTGTCGCTGAGCTTGCAACGATCGGACGAAGGCGCGATGACCCCGATAGGTCTCCAAACCATCTTGCAAGTGCACGGGTATCGCGAGGGTTCAATTGGGACTTGTGGTAATTGGCTCTGCTGGCCGACACGACGTGGAGAGAACGAGAACCCCGAACCTGCCCAAGTTCTCACCACGGACAGGTGGATTGCCTGAGCCGCCACGACGGCCAACGCGAACGCTCCGGATCGTACGGGTAGCCTTCTACGTGCACAGATCCATCCCTACAAGACGTCGCTCAAACCGCGAACTGGCCTGTATCCTCCGGCGAGCTCCGCTTGGCCCTACAGGATGTTCGACGGGCGCAACTGGGAAGCTCGCCTCTGCAAGGACTCATTCCTCGGACCTCGGCGCTGCCGTGTTCGAGGGTACCTGGCTCTTGGTTGGCGACATCAACTCCCGCCACTCTCTCTGGGATGATCCTCGGCCGTCTGCCAAACGCAAGGCGGCGCGAAGTGTTGGCATCCCCAAACCTAGTGACCCAGAAAGCCGCGTCCCATGGCCCTCGCCCCTTACCTACCAAGGTTTTTTAGGGGATCATCGCGCGCCACCTCAGAAACATCGTCACCGAGGCCCCCGGCATGAGCGCCCGAGCAGGCACCGGTTCCGGCGGCTGCGCCGACGACAAGCTCTTCTTCATCGTCGACTTGGTATGAGGCGCCATGGCGGGCGCCTTGGACAGAGTTGTTGGAACGCCTGTGCCCTGTGGAAGGTCGGCTGGGTGTGGCCCTTCGTCAGTGGGCGCAAGACGAATTTGCGCCGTCCTGAGTATGAGTCAGACGGCACCGACTGTCCACTGTGACTTAATGCCTTTGCCAGGTTCGTGAAGAAGCTCAAAACAGTATTTTTACAAACGACAGACGAAATCCCGAGAGAAGGCCAACGTGAAGGTGAAGGAACGGAGACAGCAAGAGCGACAGCGGAATAGACCGGGGAACTATCTGTCGACATCCGAGCGAAAGGAACCACAGGGCAGCATGGCAAGTCCATCACGACTTGGATGATTGTTTCGTTACAGGACTGTTCGAGTCTCAAAGTTTAAAAGAGATGGATGGCCTCTTCCTGCGAGAGAAGACCATTCACTTCACATCCAGCACGGACGAGGCCCCGCGGGAGAAAGTAGTTCGTTGGCGACTGGCGATCAGGGATCTCCGTAAGGCGAAGAAATACATGCTCTGCAACGCCCTCGAGTCGCTCTCGGCCACCAATGCGGCCGAACAGGTCGCTGCCAAGTAACCCTGGTTCAGCGCCACCCTCGATGCCATCATGGCCCCTCGGCAGCGAAAGAACTACATCAACTTCTTGCACCGGTGCGACTATCTCGATAAAGGCCCTCTGATTCCTCGACACACCAGCAGTGAATTGGTTGACGAGGCTATTCTCTACACTTTGCGGCTCGCTGCGGCCACGGGCGATACGTTTCAAAGGGAAGCACGAGCTGGTCTCCGGCGGATAGGGGCCAAAAACAGGTGGTATTGCAGACGCGATCGTCGTCGAAATGCCAGCGTGGTTATCCCAACCGGTACCAGCAATCCTTCTGAAATTATGGACCTTGTCGTGGACCCTGGCGTGATCCCCACGGATGAAGAATACAACCGACTGATGAGCGCCATGAGCGTGTCTTTCTGGAACTACCCCAACATAACCCCCAACCTTTTGTATATGGAACGTGTAACTGCCATCTCAATCTGTCTGCGATGGCTGAACATGATACCCACCTCCAGGAGAGCCCAGCTACGGAGGCTGATTTCCATCGAAGATTTGTGCCCCAATCCCGAAGGATGGTGCTATGATGAGCCCATGGAGTCGCTGTGGATTATGCGGCTGGTGCCGTTTCTCCTGGAGAGTCCCCGTGTCCGCACTACACACCAGATTCCACTTTGGAACTCTGTCTATGTCACAGGCATGTTCAAAGGAATCAAGGTCAAAGTCTCCCATGACATCACGACACTGATCGGTGCGGCTGGACGACTGGTGCATGCCGGCATAGCCCCGAAGGCATACACGCTCTTCTTCGACGGGCAGGGCGAAGACGGCGCGGCCACCGAGGCATTTTGCAACCACATCCACCGCGATGATGCCTGGGCCCACGCCGTTACAACATGGGAAGAGCTTCATCCCGCGGTTGATGGTCCATTGTGTATCATTGAATCAAAGGACATTGTGTCACGAGCACTGGCCGACATTCCCAGCGGGAAGTCGTTCGTTCGCTGCAACTTTGACCCCGGTCATCCCTGGAATACGGGCTCGGTCTCGCGTCAGTTACAGCACTTCCAGCATCAGCAAGGAGTTCATGAAGCCTATTTAAACAGGGCACCCTCTTTCTTCGAGATACGCTCGCCATCTCTGAAGGGCATGACGATGGAGAGATGGGTGGATACAAATGGCGGCGACTACTTCCCGCGAGATCACATCTACTTCGAGTTGGAAAACAAAGAGATCGAAAGAAAGCACACGAGAGAATACACTTCCCCTGAGATTCAGGGCATCGGCGATTACGACGACGACTTGTGTTCAGACACTTCGGAGCCTACCGAGGAGGTCATACAGAGTTGGGAGAAGGCCAAAGATGATTACAAGCGGGACGTCGAGCTTGCCGCGGCAATGAGAGGGGCCTCTGCCTCGGATGTTTTTGAATAACGCTATGTGGCCGGAGCATCAAGGATGAAGGCATATTTGGAAATGGGGGGTTGGGGATTGGATTCAAAATTGAACTTGGGCTTGGGAACATGATGGCGATGGGATATTTCCCAATTTGTCGCTGGGGAGTCGAGGAAGCAGAATGCAGGGAAAATTGGCAGTTGGTTTGATAGTAATCAGTTGAATTGTTTTGTTTTTCGATTTGGTCTCTCTAACGGGCAGCTCGGCTGGCGACAAGATGTAAAGGGCACGTCGAGCCTCCAAGGAACATGCAGGCATCCCGGTGAGACCGAGGTCGCGATGCCGGCATGGCCGATGACAGGGAGGCGGGTGCGCCGGGGACCCCGACAAGCCTGGGGGGGTTGGGTGACTGCAAGTTTGGCTGCTGGCATGCCAGTGGGACAATGCTGTTTGGCTGCCGCGAGGACGGCGGCTGGCGACAGGAAAAGCAAGAGAGAGTGGCTTTGTTCAAGCCGTCAGAACAAAACAGACGTGACGACGGCAGAAGAGGCCAAGTTCGAGCGAGGGCGGAGGGGCCACTGGACCCTGCTTCCACGCGCCGCCGATCTGCCGCAACGAGCAAGCAAGTTTGCCGTCTGAGTCGATCCCACATGTCCAACCTGCCCAGGTGAGGTGGTTTGCACAATTACTTTCTTTTGCATGCTTCGACGCCGTCGGTGATTCAAGCTCAGCGGCCTCAAGCGGACGGGCGCCATGAGGTGGACGGCCAGACAGCCCCGCCAAGCCTCTGGGTCAGCACTGCCAGTCTGCCTCCCAGATGACGCTTTGCCGGGGGAGGTGTGGTGCAGGTGCATCGTCCGTGCGCTCGTGCGTCCGCAGGGCCCCGCCCATCCACCCCAGGCGCCAGGTGCCGCTGAAGCTGGACTGGACATGTTGATAGGTATCGCATGCCATTACAGCGTAGAAAAGCATGTCCGGGCCTTGTTCATCTGCCCTCCTGATACCACGCTTGACATGCGAGGATAATGAGAGTCAGAGTCCGACTTGTACAGATCTATGCCCTCGTAAATATATCATTATTTCATCCCTGTCCGGCCCTGTCTGTCCATCTATCCTCCCCGCATCAATCAAGAGACGGACCATTGCTGGCTGTGGACTGACCTGCGCGGGCGTGGACAAGACAGCGGCGAGCGAGCGCGCGCTCTGAGCTGCGCCAGCCCGTCGAGCCGGCGCTAGTCCCTCCTGAGGTACCCTGCCTATCTATCTCGCCGAGGAGGTACTGCACGTCCAGCAGTACAAGTACACCACCCGTCGCGTCGACCTCCATTGCGACGAACAAGGGAAGGGACCACCCCCGACCCGACAGCAGAGACAGCCCTTTGTCTTTCCAGTCCAGCCGTCCTCATCTTCCAGTTCACCCCTCCGCTCCTTCCCCGTCGCCCACCAATCCCCCCAACCTTGTTTGCGCCAACGTCAACGGTGTTTCGCACCACCAAACCTCTCCCACGCCTGTCTCGCTCCTAGCTAAGGGAACAGGACGACAACTCAAAGTTCCCTCGACTTGACGATCGTACGCATCCGGCGCAGCTTCGACTCGGCTTGACTCGACTCGACCGCATCTCTTGCCCGCTTGTGTGAGCGCTCGGTGCTTGGTCCGCCCGACAAATCGCCCGTCGTCATCCCAAGCAACACCCTCGAACCTCGGCCGTCGTCCGCTTGCCCACTTCGCGCATCAACCCTCTGCCTCTTCCCCCGTCGCACGGTATTCCGCGTCGCATGCGCGCTCCGGGCCACCATGGTGGGCCGTGAGAATGGGACCTCCGAGTCGAGAGCGTCCCGCGCCCCGGCCCTACAGGTCATCGTCTTGGTAGGTCCAACCCCGATCCCGATGCCGACCGACCCTGTCCTGTCCACCCCCGGAGGCCCGCTTCGCTTCACGCCGGGCATCTGTGAGATGTGACACGGCCGGCATCGCGTCGCCTGCATGCGCCTCGCCTTGCCTTGCCCTGCCTTGCCCTGCCTTGCCCTGCCTTGCCCTGCCTTGCCCTGACCTGCCTCGAACCCCTCCATCACCACATGCTGCCCCTCGTCGCTGCCCCTCCACGCTGCCAATCTGC